CCAGCGCGCGTGGGCCGTGGCCAGCGGGGGCAGGCGCGCCGCGCCGAACGGCAGGTCCAGCAGCCGCACGGCCCAGCCGCGGAGGGCCGTCTGCAGGAAGAGGCCGGTGCCCACCGGCCGGGCCAGGGGCGCCGACAGGTTGAAGAGGTCGCGGGCGCGCAGGAGCACCACGGCGTCTCCGTCCAGGGCGTCGCAGCGGGGCGCGGACGGGGCGGGGCCGTAGCGGGCGGTCCACTCGCGCAGGCTGACGTTCAGGGCCAGGCAGCGGGCGGGGTTGGCCGAGGCGACGGGGGCGGCCACCAGGCGTGCACCTCCGGCCCGGAGCGCCTCCACCATGTGCTCCAGCTGGCCCGGTACCTCGGCCCTAGCCCCGTCGGGCACCAGGGCCACGAATTCGGTGGCTACATAGGTCTCGGGGCGCGAGGCGGCGGCGGGCCGGTCCAGGGCGGGCTGGAGTAGCGCCAGACGAACGTTGGGAACCCGCGGCAGGGCCAGGGGTGGGTAGGGGAGCGTGTCGGCGGCCACCACCACCGGCTGGGCCGCGTCCTGTTGCAGGAAGGAGTCCACCAGCTCTGGCACCGCGTTGTCGAAGGCCTCGAACTCGCGCACCAGGACGGTGACGCGGGGGCCGGCGGCAGCTCCACGGCGGGGACCCCGGGCCCGGGAGTTCCTGGGCTGGTGCTGTAGCCACGAGACATAGAAGAGGACCAGGAGGTTGAGCGTGATGGCGGCTGCCAGGACAGCCTGGCAGCGGGTGAGCCGCATGGGGTCAAAGTCGGGCCCTAGCTGGGCCTCCAGGGCATCCTGAGGAGGGAGAATGAAAGGGGAGGCTGGAGCTGGTTGTCAGAAACCTCCTACCAGACCTCCTTAATCCTCAGCATTGCCCTTCTCTCCCAGCCCTTTCTCTATATAGTGTCAGCTCTGACTTGCCCTCCTCCAGGAAGCCCTCTCTGACTTCCCATCCACCCCGCTCTGGGCTCCTTCAGCTCCTTGGGTTCTCCCACCCTAGTCCACCACTCTACGTCATTACTGCGTGGGGGCAGGTCTGCATCCTCCCACTGGATTGTGAGACCCATGAGGGCCGGCCCTGAGCTGGTCTCGATCACTGCTGGGTCCCACGTTCCACCCAGCACAGGACCTGGTGCTTAGCAAGTTTTTATCAAGTGATTCACCTTCCCTTCTTCCTTGTTCAATCCCACCTATTCCTTATCCTTTTCTTTGTCGATTTCTCATTCTGTTTTGGGTTCGATTAGAAATGCCCAACTCCATCCCCGAGCCCAGGCTGCACCTTCTGCTCCACCGTTCCCTCCTCCAGGAAGCCCCTCCTGATCTCTCTCTCCTGTCCCTCTCACACCCTGTCCGGGCTGCGGGGGGGGGAGGGGGGGGAGGCTGCAGCATGGGCACCGAACCCCTCCCCCACAGTCCCCTTCTCACTTCCTCAACTCCTGTGCCATCTGGTCATCTGATGGTCGGCCAGATTGGTTTGGTTTTGCAAGAAAAGCTAGAAATGTTTTCTTAAATCAGAATTACCCTGATTTTTAATACTGCCTACTCATTAAACAACCACCACGGCCTGGATCACACTCCTAGAAACATAGGGGCGCCTGCCTGGCTCAGTCCATTAAGCATCAGACTCTTGATTTCGGCTCAGGTCATGATCTCACAGTTCATGGGCTCGAGTCCCACCTCCGGCTCTGTGCTGTCAGCACAAAGCCTGCTTGGGGTTCTGTCTCTTCTCTCTCTCTCTCTCTGCCCCTCCTCCGTGCTCGCTCTCTCTCAAAATAAATAAACTTAACAAACAAACAAATTCCTAGTGCCAGAAAGTAGAAAGGTGGTTGCCAGGGGCTGTGAGGAGGGTGAAATGGAGTTGTTTAATGGGTATAGATTTCCAGTTTTGCAAGATTGAGGAAGTTCTGGAAACTGCACAATAATGTCGAATATATACAACACTATTGAACTATGCGCTTAAGAATTGTTTAGATGAGGGGTGCCTGGGTGGCTCAGTCGGTTAAGCGTCCGACTTCGGCTCAGGTGTCGAGCTCTGTGCTGACAGCTCAGAGCCCGGAGCCTGCTTCGGATTCTGTGTCTCCCTCTTTCTCTGCCCCTCCCTTGCTCATGCTCATGCTCTGTCTCTCAAAAATAAATAAATGTAAAAAATGAAAAAAATTTGTTTAGATGATAAATTTTGCTTTGTGTATTTTATTACAACTCAAAAACAAATTTTTTAATGTTTAGTTTTGAGAGAGAGCGCGAACAGGGGAGGGGCAGAGAGAGAGGGAGACATAGAATCTGAATCAGGCTCCGGGCTCTGAGCTGTCTGCACAGAGCCTGCCGTGGGGTTCCAACTCAGGAACGGTGAGATGGTGACCTGAGCCGAAGTCGGATGCTTCACCGACTGAGCCACCCAGGCACCCCCACAACTAAAATTTTTTTAAATGTTTGTTTGTTGAGAGAGCATGAGCAGGGAAGGGAGAGAGACAGACAATCCCCAGCAGGCTCTTGCAGTCAGCACAGAGCCTGACAGGGGGCTTGAACTCACGAACCATGAGATCACGACCTGAGCCGAAATCAAGAGTCAGCTGCTTAACAGACGGAGTCACCCAGGTCCCCCTAGAATTTTTTTTTTTTTTTTTTTTTTTTAAGGGGAGTGGGACAGCCCAAAAGAGGCTGGGGAGGTAGGGGACGCCCACTCTTCATTCATTGGCCGCACTCCTAAGCAACCTCCAGGTGGCGCTGCCTCCCCGTGCCCCGCACAACTTTGAAGCTCTGGCTGGTCTCTGGCACAGGAGTAGATACTCAGAATGTTTTTCCACGAGGGATTTCCATGGGTTTCTACTCCTCCCGGGAAGGGTGACATCAGAGACCCAGCTAATCTTCCCACCCACCTGAATACTTCTGACCAAAGCTCCCTCTTGGGCCCGGGTCCACCCAGATCCCCCCCTCAGCCTCCCCGGTCTCCTTTTTTTTTTTTTTTTTTTTTTTTAATGTTTTTATTTATTTTTGAGAGGGAGCGAGCATGTGTGAGGCGGAGGAGGGGCAGAGAGAGGGAGACTGAGGATCTGAAGAGGGCTCTGTACTGACAGCAGAGAGCCTGATGTGGGGCTTGAACCCTCAAATGCAAGATCATGACCTGAGCTCAACTGACTGAGCCACCCAGGCACCCCTCCCTGGTTTCCTGACGAAATCCCCTCCAGAGAGGTTTTCATAAAGCACAAACCTGACCTCTCCCTCCCTGGTCCGAACCTGCCATGGCTCTTCGGTAACCCGAGCAGAAAGTTTAAGTTTCTTACAACATCCCGCGAGCCCTTGGGCGACCTGTCCCTTGCTGGCCCACCGGGTCCGGCCCCGTCTCCTGCCATGTGTCAGACTCTGTGCCTCTTTTCTCCTGGAGAGCGCCTACTTACGCTTTAGGCCTCAGCTCTGATGGCTCCTCCCCCAGGAAGCCCTCCCCGAACCCCAGGCTGGGTCAGAAGTCCTCCCTGGGCCCCCCATGCCTCAAGTTCCTGAAGCCCGACTCTGCACTATGTGGCCTGAGTCTTCCTGCCTCTTCCCTCTCTATCTCCCACCAGGAATAGGCTCCTATCTTTCTTCACCCATCCCAGGCCTGTTTCCCCTTCTCTGACCCGCCTCGGCCGACACTTAAGAATCCAAGTTGCACTTTAAGAGCAACTTTTATTTTTATGTTTATTTTTCGATAGAGAGAGAGAGAGAGAGGGGATCTGAAGTGCGCTCTGCACTGATGGCAGAGAACCTGATGCGGGGCTTGAACTCACAAACTCTGAGATCGTGACCTGAGCCGAAGTCGGACACTTAATTGACTGAGCCACCGAGGCGCCCTAACAACTTAAGTTTTAGAACCTTGGAATTGCCTTCTGGATCTTAGATTGATTCTTCCTTCCTTCAGTCCTTCCCTCTGTTTGTGGAACTCCTACAACGTGCCAGGCACTGTTTGAGGCACTGGGGGCACAGCAGTGGACACATGGCACACAAAGACAGACAGCAACCCTGACCTCACATTACTGGGGGGGGGGGGGGGGGGGCAGGAGACTTTGGAACCACAGAATCTTCGGGGTCTTAAAAATCTTAGACGCTTAGAGCGTATGTACATAGAAGCACAGGAGAGACCACGGATAGTTTCGGAACCTTCTGAAGATTCTAAAAAGAGACCATCATCCTGCTGTGCCCGCATCTCCCACTCAGCGCCCAGAGGCATCCTGTTAAAACTCAAATTAGATCCCGTCCTGCGTCTGCTCAGACCCTTCTGTGGCCCACAACTCACTCAAGGGAAAAGCCGAGTCTTTACCGGGGCCCCCTGGGCTCTGTCTAATCCTCCACCCCCTCCCACTCTTCGCTCCAGCCGCGCTGCCCGCCGAACACCAGCGTTCAAATACATCCGGGACACCATGGCCAAAGATCAGCGGGCTCCTTCTGCCCGGAAGCTCATCCCCAGGTCTCCACATGGCTCCTCCCTCCTGGCCTTCAGGCCTCTCCTCAAATGTCACCTGTCCAGTGAGCCCTCTCTTTGGCTTTTCTTTCTCAAAATGCATCTCCCCGTCACCCTCGTATTTCGTGCGCCCCACCCATCCCTGCGTTTTCTCCCCTCATCGTTATCACGTAGATTTCACTTCTTATTTTGTTCCCTGATGTATACTCCGGGCACAGCTCAGTGCCTGACACATAGCAGGTGCTTAATAAATTTGTGTGGCTCCAGTGACTGAGTCTAGGTGTTCCGATGGGGAACGTGGGGCTCAGAGATAGAAACCATCTGGCTATTGGAATGCTCTGTCTGGCTGACTCTAGGCCCCAAGATGCCCAGCCGGACAGAGGACAGAAATGGGGTCCTCAGAGACCAGTGAGTATGACAGTCAGACAAGCAAGCGAAGGCACCAGAGAATAAAGAGAAAGGAATCATTCAGCCCCCTGACTAGGTTGCTCTTGGCTTCCCCAACTATGAGGGCTCAAATCTCCTTTATCGGGGCAAAGTGGATGAAATGATGATTTTGAAGGTGCGAATGTTCTCTCTCTGAATCCCATCAGGATGATACTATCAACGGTTCTAGCCAATCGTGACACGCCAGACCCCTTTCTAAGCACTTTACACATAGGAACTTGTTTGCTCTTCAAGTTCTGATCACATTTAGAGATGAGGGAAACTGCAGCACAGAGAAGTGAAGTCACTCGTTCAAGGTCACACAGCTGGGAGATGGTGGACCCAGATGTGACTCCCAAACCTGGCGAGTGTTGTCCAGTTTACTGTTTTCAACCAATAAACTCTGCTATCCCTCTTGAGTCCACTCAAGACAGCCCAGCTCTCTGTCCACCCTCAGCGAACATTCTGCAGGTGCTTTCAAAGCTGAATATGGCATATTCCGTACTTCAACCCGTCAACTCTTCTGGGGACTCGGGAAGACGGAGGCAGTCATTGGGCAGGCCCTCCAGAGGTAAGCAGACAAAAGCCACACTCACAACTTACAGATAGGTCAGGAGACCAGCGGGGGTGTGGCAGAGGAAAGAGGGTCAGGGAAGGAGAGGACAGTTAAGAGGAGACTTTGTGTCTCTCCATGTCCCATCAAACAAGGGTCAGTGGATCCAGATTCCCTTCAGGCCTAGGTTCACCCGGCCTGAGCTCTGATCTGGACTGAGTCTTAGCTGCTGCATCTGCGGGGTGCGAATGTGGCAGGTGAAGAAAATGAGCGATGTGTAGGAACGGCTTGGGGGAGAAGGGCGATTTCCACCTGAGTGCTGGTGACACTGTGGGACTTCTTACCTCCTAGGCTGCTGTGGGAGCTCCCGGTGGGCGGTTCCAGACCAGCTCAAATGCACTGCTGAGGGAACAAGGACCAGAAAACCCCAAATCAGCCAATTTTGCACAAGAGAGTACGGCTTCATCTTACCTACAGAAGTGGCAGCGAGAAGGTCAGAGAATCCTTTTTCTTGAAGTTCCATAAGCTCAGGCACCACCTGGAGTGTCTCAGGAGCGGGTGGGAAGGGTGTCAGTTACCACAGCGACCTATAACCATCCCTTTCTTATGAATGTGTCCAGAGAGGTGGGGCTAGAAGTGACCAGAGCTGTTACCATGACAACGCCTTCCCTAGACACACTCCATCCTGAGACACAATCCTAAAACATCCCCTGCCTTGGTGGGCCTGGTTCCTAGGGTCCCTGGAAGGGGGCGGGGGGGGGGGGGGGGGAGGTGGGGCTGCTCTTGTTACCATAGTAACCAGGGCTTGCCCTTGCCCGTCTCCACCTCCTGGTCCAGGCCCTGTAACCATAGCAACTAGTCCTCCGCAGAGAGCATCTTCTCCTCTAAATAAAAACACCTGGTTGGTTTGGGCCACAGGCCTCCCACGACGAGAAAGAGGGGGGGATCCGGTTACCATGGTAATGCCAGCTGGGCGGCTAGGGGGAGGGGTTGGGAAAGAGGTGTTCTCTCAGCAGTCAGTGTCCTTGGGGCTGGGGTCCTTGCTACCTGAGTGCTAGGTGAGGTTGCCATAATAACCGAATGAGGGTGGGGGCAGAAGGACCACCAGGGGCTTAGGTTACCTTAGCAACCTTCCCCAAGTCCAGTGACAGGGCAGGTTTGGGACTTCATAACCACAAAGGGGGAGGCTTCCAGACCGCGGAAGGGTTACCATGACTACCGACCCCGGCCAGGAATCAGAGAGGATGGGGCCATCGCAGAAATCACCCTTGGTGGTCGCCCTTTCTCTCTGACACTGTTTGTCCAGGAGAGTGGCATTTGGGTCTGGAGGGGGTTAGAATCTTTCTTTGGGGCGAAGGGACAGGAAACGGCCCCTCCCAAAGTCCCGCTTTTCCTAGGGGCGACCCTAGTGCTGGGCCTGGGTCTCCTGAGCTTTCCTCGAGGTGCGCGCTTCCGTCCCGCCCCCTCCCGCCCACCCGCGCGCGCGCGCTTTCGGGGTCGACCCGGGTGGGCGAGGCGCGCGCCGGGCCTCGTTCCC